AGCTTTGTTTCTTTTCCGTTGTTCATGATATTACAGCTGCGTGAGATGCCGTCGCGTCGCGATTTGGAAAATGTTTGTTCGCTGGTTGGAGTGGTTGTACGAGCCGTTGTATGAGCCGTTGTCGGTGCCGCTCTGAGTTGTTGTCGGCTTTTTCGACATCGTATGCACTGTAATCGAATGCATATCGAGGATGCCGCACTTTGATATGCTGTGTTGCTTGATGAAATACACAGTTTGCCAGGCGGTTGTTGTTCGATGGTGTGTCCGGACATTAGCCGCCCGTGGCTGTGCGGCCGCTTAGAGGAAAGGGACCATACACCAGGTCATGTCCTCAAAAATCATGTACACGTCTATATGCGCATCACCCGCTTTAGTCTGTGGAGTTGCTTGTGTGGCGTTCGCATGTCGCCGAACATCCATTTGAGCACGCTCCATTTGAGCACGACAGCTTTGCTTGTCGCTCCCGTCACCCTCATCGTTCTGCAAGTTGTTCCACACGTGCTAAAACTAGCGCATACGGGAAGCAGGGCGCCACAGGGCGTCGTCGGGGCAGAGAGAAACCCACGGGTCGGCAACGACTAAACAGTTCGAACGCATGCATGCACATGCACACACGCAGCTGCAGCTGCGTGTGCGCACAAATCTCGCTTGCGTGCCACAGGGTGGTGTGGCTCAAAACGACTAACACCCACCACAAGTGGGACAAGATAAAAACACATGCATTCCTACCCACAAAAACGCGCACTCCTCCACAATAAATAGCGTTTGTTTAAAAGATGTTAAAAAGAGTCCCCCACGGCACCTCTCTCCAGCCCTCCACAGCTGGACGACCCTGCGCCCTCTGTCCTATAAAAAGAGTCTAAACGTACCCCATATCCCATACCACATTGCATGCATCCGACGTGTATCATGTTTTGGACGTATTGCAAATGCATCCCGAAACATTCTGACACATTCGGAAAGTGTGTCCTCCAAATGAATCAGGGCGGCGTGTAAGGTGGCGTCACGTGGCGAATTTAAAAAAACAACTGACCCCCAGAGGCTGTGTGGTGAAGGCTGTGGGGTGAGACGAAACAACACAGCAAGAGCGCCTCACCCATGTGTTGGGTGAACAACATCCAAACAATCAAAAACCCCGCACACGACACAACACCTGCCACTGCCCATCCGGGAGTCTGGGGGTGTCTCTCCAGAAGTTAAATAATACAG